CTATTGTGCCATGACAACCGCGTGTCAAGTCGAGGTAATCAATTGTCACAACGCTCGTTGCGTAACAACACGTGTCCTGTGACGTAACAATAGCAAACGGTTGGTAGGTTACTTTGCCGCCACAAGTGGTCGCGCGAATATATCGCGCAAAGAGACGCGCGAATAGATCGCGCAGTTATGGAACGACAGTCTACTTATAAACATCGCAATGGTTAAAGACAACATTTCCAATATGGACCAACAGGACTCTTCCGAAAGGATCATAGATCCTGATTTTTACACGAAGGCGAATAAGATTATATTTCAATCTAGTGAAAAATCACCTTAGCACCACAGTGATGAGAGGTGGCATCGTGGGTGTTATTACCTGTTTTATAATTACAACGAATGGTCCGTTGTGGAACACATTCCCATACTCGTTTTCCATAACGTTTTCATGGAAGTGCGATGGTTGCAGGCAATGAATTATCCTAGTAAACGTGAAAATGAGACGGCTGCAACCGTAAGGAAATACTTGGTGCAATCGAACTACATGGAATTTTTTTTGAAGAGTTTCAAGCTGATACAAGGTAAGTAATCAGAACTTCAACTACTTTATTAACTCGATATAAAACAAGCTTTTTTCAAAAATGAAAATCGTGTCAAAAAAATTTTACACATCAACTGTGTGAAAAAAGTTTCGACACGAAATACATATAACCTCAAAACTATACATAACCCGAAAATAAGCATATCCGAAGTTCGGATATATCCGAAATTCCAAGGTATCCGAGTTTCTGGTTACTTGGATAATGGTTGTTACGTGCAATAACGATTTTCATTTGTTGTCGAGCTTTTTTGGCCTCAACTGCGCTAGTGCATCGTCTGCATAAAGCAGCATAGTGCATCATTGGCAAAACTCATCTTTTCTCTCATCTTCTCGTCGACTCTTAAAATAAAAAAAAAATTATGGCCTTGTTCATTGTTGAAATTGTCGACAAAATTCTTGAACACCTGGACCTGTACGACATTAAGGAGTTCCGCAAAGTGTGCACGTGAGTACCTAATTTTTTTTATTAATTAACTTGACATTTTCATTTAATCGAAACAAAATAGAGATTACTTGTATAGTGATGCGTTCTAGAACCGCTAAAAAATAGTGATCTAGTAACCATCACGACAACAATTAGTGCTAAAAATAATATTATATTTTGACTTAAATTAAATTTTATTTCAATTTTTTTTATTATTTTATTTTTTTGGTTTATTACAGCTTCTGGGAATATCGAGCGGAGAGGGAGCTCCGAAGGCGACCAAAATCTGCGGAATTTCCGTATTTTTTCGACGAAGACGTGCAGGCGATAAAAGAAACGGCTAAAATGTATTTCGAAATGATTTACAATGACGAAAAAACGGAGTACACCATCTTTAGCGAGCTGCTGCACTTCATAGAAAGGGACGATGTGCTGATCGAAAATGAGGAAAAACGAATGTCATGTGAGTATTTTTTTATTATAACATTTTCTATTTTTATTTCATAACTCCGTCATTTAACAGGGAGAGACGTACGAGACATTTCTTATTTTTACTATGGTAAGAATTATAACGATTTGAGAGACGGAACGGAAGGGTATTTCCACATTCCATATCTGACCGATTCAGATAGTGAGGAATGAAATTTGACGACCTACCGTATTTTAAGAAACTTACCGACTCCATGCCGCGTAGGTTTGCCAAAATTATAGAACAAGGAGGAGGACCCATCAATTATTGATTAAAAAATACTTACTTTAAGAGAAGTAAGAGAGGCGTTAATGAGAAGATTCGTTTTGAATAATATTGGACTTGCAGCTATCACAAGAGAGCAGTACATCGAGAGGCACGTGACCGACTTCGCCAATAGACTATACAATCCAACTCCAGAAAATCGCGTGGCAATATTTTACATTGACGGAACTTACACATACTGCTTCAAAAGCAAAAATTTCAGGAGTTTGCGACAAACATACTGTCGATATAAAAGCGACCACTTAGTGAAGCCTGCTCTTGTTGTTGCGCCAGATGGATACATATTAGATATCCAAGGGCCGTATTTTTCGGATGCGCACAACAACGATGCTGCGATGATCAGTCATGAGTTGGAAAACGACGAGAATTTAAACAATTGGTTCAGACCAGGGGACATCGTCGTTGTAGATCGGGGTTATAGAGACGTTATACCCGCTCTAGAAGAATTAGTATTGATTTGTAAGATGCCGCCATTGCTCGAGGCCAGAGAGCGACAATTGACTACCGAGGATGCCAATGAAGCCCGACTGGTCACGAAGACAAGGTGGATCGTTGAATCGCGAAACGGCCATCTAAAAACTATATTTAAGTTGCTCAATCAAGTGCAACAGATTCACGTCCTCCCACATATCGGCGATTTTATTCGAATAGGAGGTGCTATAATAAATAGGCAAAATGTTTTGAAAAACACGTGCTTCTGAGAAGCTTAACGGAAAAATTAAACTTCATTTTATCCCGTTCATGCATATAATAAACGTTTGTAGATATCGTCAAACAATTGAGATGGAAGACGCAGATGAAGAGATGGCCGAGGAAATGCTTGAGCGTTCAACAACTGAGAACGCAGTTCAAGCTCGTGTCGAGGCTGAGGGCTTGCTACGAAGAGATGCTCAAAGGTATCAACCGAAAAATTTAGATTGCGACCGAATAATTCGAAGCTTTTTGATAAGCGCAACACAAGCCCACAAAAAATTAAAACTTCATGCATAAATACAGTTGCACTTATACTTACCGCTGGCCTCGAAGATGAGTTTGTCAGCTCCAGGGTCGTAGATCGACTCGCGCCGAGCTCAGGGCTGAGCTGATGGCCTGCGATCAATAAAAGTTCACTTCATTTCCCAAAAAACATGAAAGCAGCACAAGAGCTACTCGACCGCTGGCCTCGAAGATGAGTTTGTCAGATCGAGGGCCGTAGCTCGACTCGCGCTGAGCTAAGGAGTAAGCTTGTGGCCTGCGATCAATAAAAAATGACTTCATTTCCCAAAAAACATGAAAGCAGCACGAGACCTTTATTTAAATGAACATTGTTTATTAGTATTAGAAAATTGAATTACATTGAATTTTTAAAATTTTATTGTAAATTTCAATTGTAAAATTTAATTGTAATTACAATAAAATGTTATAATTATATATTAATTTAATAATTTACATTTAATCATTTAATAAATTATTGTTCTTTCTTGATTCGGTCAAACGAGAGCCAAAGACTCGAATCGAAATGGTTGGAACCTTTTCCGTTCAAGGCCTAAACAAGGCCAAATTCCCAACTACTTATGACTCGAGCAATAAATCCTGCGTTCATTACTCCACGATCATTTTAGGCTTTGTACGCTTCTTACAGCCTACAGGCGCAATGGTAAAAATCAAAGGATGGTCAAAGTACGTTCATTGGTCTGTAGGAAGAAACATACAGTTTCTCCAGGTATTGGCCGTCTGTTTAAATAGTAAGCAATGAACTTACTTATTCAGGTAGAGAGGCTAAACCGTTTCTTAATCAATGAAAATCAGGTATCTATATCCGGAACATGCCGGAGTTTTATTTCCTCCTCTACTTAACAATCTTTGGCTATAACTTATTTGTGGAACAACATAAACGATGCGCTCACCCTCTAGCGGCGAAGCTCGAACTAAATATAAACGAACGTATGCTATTGACTACGCAGCATAATAAAAACATATTCACGCACGATTACAGATAGCACAGCATAGCCCTGGTTGCAGTCTGCGAGACGGCATGGCAACTTTTCAAACCGAGTTCTAAAATCGTACTGACTTCGTCACTGCACAGACAAAGACAAACAAACGTGACAAAATACATGAGTTGAAACAACTCGCAACTCAAGTGTTGTAGATGCACAAGTATACATACGTGAATGATCACATATTGATGACTGAACGATACCGCAGTGCCTCTATGCATTTAATGTTAATTGACATAAGAACTAGAGGAATAGGGCATGGCGTATTTTACCCTATTCTTCTAGTTCTTATGAGACGTTCACATTGAATACTGACAGGCGCTGCGATATCGTTCAGTCCTCAATACTTATACGACTTTGAACGGTTCGAATAACCGTTAAAAAGCGAATTTCGATTCGCTGGACTTGAAATCGGTCACATCGCACACGGCGCCACACTGCACAAACACATGCGAGACGAGGGTCCGCTACTCGAAGGGACACACACACGCACATACATACACAAATCCACTCACGCGCGGGAGTAGCCGAGTTGCCAGTATTAGTATTAGATACAGTGCAACACGGTGTACGTCATTATTCCCAAAATTCAGAAACACATAGTTTTGACTCTTGTGCACCGAAAAAAATATCGAAAGCCTCGTCCACGAGCATTGAACCTAACTATGGTTTACGAGAACATGAAAGTCGTAGTGTCTTTGAATCGTACTCTCTGCATTCGAGACCCAGCGTCAACACTTACGACTGTTAGCGAAGTGTCCGACATCGAGTGGTCGAAGCAAGAGACTGCGTCAAATCCACGTAGGCCGGGTTTACGATTTTTCGTAGCGTCAGATTCCAAATTTTGAAGCGAGACGCTACTCTACGCAAAAACATTGCGTCTTCCTATTGCGCTACACACCGTTTGGGTTCGAAATTCGGAATGCGACGTTACGAAAAGTTGTGAACCCGGCGTGCATAAATGCGACGCAGTCTCTAGTTTCGACTTTCTGAATCTGATGCTACGATAAGTAGCGTGCGTATACACGGAAAAACTTTCGAACATCTTTCACGCTCGAATTCTGAAAACGAATCACACACGAGTTCTGCTGAGCTCGTATCGTCACCAGCACTGAGCGCGATTCAGCCTCGAGACCGAGCGTGAATCGCACTCGAGCCTCGTCGAGCTAGTTTCGACATTATCGAATTTCTGGGTTTTGGGTCGCGTAAATAAATTTTTTAGAAGTATAACCAGCTTGTTTGGTCAAGCGCATGTAATCATTTAAAAGTTTATTTTATTCCTATGAAAAGGTACATTTATAAAAATTTTCAAAATTTCAAGAACGATTTTTATAAGTGTTCGAAATATGGCAATTGAATCCAAGTTTCAATATTAGTTCACACTCATCAGAACCCGAGGGTGTTCGGTGCTCGAGACTGAGCATGAATTGTGTTCGACTCAGAGCGCGATGTATCTCTATGCATTCGAGCGTGAAACATGATCAAAAGTATTTCTGTCTATAACACACGAAATAATAACGTATAGACAGAAAATGGATTGTTTCAAATTGCTCATTGAGGGACTTAATTATGAGCTGAACTTTTCAGAGGCTTTATTTTCAGTGATATTGAAGACATGCAGACAGTAACAAAAATAGTTTTGAAGACCCGAGATTTTTTTGAATCAGTCTCATTTATACAGTATCATATTACAGTTTTAAGTTCATTTCTGTTGCGTATCAAACATTACGCTTGAAAATGACGAAAACGAACTGATAATATAAATAATAAAAAACCATCTGCATGGTGTGGAAATATAATGCGCGTTTATAAATTCAAATAGGGTATTTATTTCGATCTACTTGTTTGAAACGAAGATGTAGCTCTATCAAATTATTCTTCCGATCTTAGATCGTTGTTGAATTTAATTTTTATCCATGTACTGTACCAAGTATTATTGAACTTTTCTACTCTCGCATTTGATAATTTCAAAAATTAAAACAACTATAAATACACGTGGATCGAGATCTCTTTCAAGGTGAGCCAATAAACATTTCCGCGTGTTTATAGTAAATAAAAATAATTACACGACTATCGGCGAATGTGCAAGCTCATATTTAATTTTGCCAATGAGAAGTATATATTCAATAATTGCCAGTTCACGCTATCGTAACATTTATTTTTGCTTATAAAACTCGGAAGAAAACAATTTCTCGCTTACATGGAAGAATTTCATCGCGTCAGGCATAGGCATTATATATTATAAAAATAAGTCATCGGTTTAAAATAAAATAAAATACAACAATTGATTTAAGTAACGAAAGTTTACGCTGATTCGGCAGCCCGAATCGATCGATCGACTTTCTTACAATTGCATAATATTACGCGCGTTATCTATTCATTATCTATCGAGGACACTTTTCATAATCGTCGCATATACAAATATTGTATACATTGGAGTAAAATGTATCATCAAAATATATATAATATATATTATTTACAAAAATTCTCGCAGCTCATGCGTAATTATATTTACGCGAGAATCTAAATCACATGTGTTTGCCTATTTTTAATAAATATATAATAATAATACGATCGACACGAGTCGCGCTGCGAAGTAAATATACACGCTAGCACACGACGACTGCTGTGTAAATGCTTCGTGTCGTAATTATTCTCGCAGTGTGGTGAAAAATCTGCAAAATCATCGTTACTGCTTCTGCTCGTTATCGAGCTTCTGCTCTTCGGTTGATCGATCATTGAAAACCTATTGACAAAAAAAACAACGTCACAAACATTAATTCTATAAGGGTCATATCATAGTTGATAGTCAATAAAATTAAATTGAAACCAAATCTAGGTACATCCCTCATCGATCTACGAGGTCTAAAAGATTGGGATATCATTTTTTAAAGTTTATTCTGCTTCCCATGGGTGAATATGAAAAAATTGTTGAAACAGGATTTTTTATGTAAAATTCAATAAGAAATTCAGATTTGTGGTAAAAAATAATATTCATAAGCTTCTGCTCCATTAAAAAGTGAAAATAGCATAAAAGTCAAAAAATAAATGTGTTCGTCTCCAGCGATTAGGCCAATATTGTAATATGTTCATCGATGCATCAAAATATAACTTCTTATAAAGTTTGGTCATCAGTTAAAAATCAAAATTTATTCTTCAGCTGTCAAAAGACCTAAAAACATGTAAAATTAGAGAAAAACCATGTTTTCAGAGCAGCGAGTAGAATTTCTCATCAAATTTTATATCAAATATCCTGTTTCAACAATTTTTTCATATTCACCGATGGGAAGCAAAATAAAATTTGAAAAACCAAATTCCAACTTTGAGGCTCCGTACATCCATGAGGAATAAACCTAGAGAACTTCAATTTTCAAGACTTTCATTTTTCAATGTATTCTTCAAGAGTACTTTGTTTTAATTTCATTTTTTGAACTATAATCGACTCTTTTATGATGTAAACTCATAATAAACTCATATTATATCATTGTACCTGCTCGGATATCCTCTTGAGATGCTGCTCCATGGCCTGGCCGCTCCTGTGCACCATCGTCGCCAAGAAGCCGTCGTTACGCTGCAGCAGCAGATGCGGCCTGTCGTACTCCACCAGCTCGCCCGCGTCCATTATCATGATCCGGTCGCAGTCGATGATCGTGTTGAGCCGGTGGGCGATCGTCAGCACGGTGCACTCCTTGAACTTGTCGCGTATCGTGCGCTGTATCAGGCCGTCCGTCACCGGGTCGACGTTGGCCGTCGCCTCGTCCATCACCAGGATCCGGTTGCCTTTGATGATGGCTCTGGCCAGGCAGAGCAGCTGACGCTGGCCCGCCGAGAAATTGGCCCCGCCGCGCTCGATCAGAGCCGCGTCGAGCGACTCGAAGCCGCGATGCAGCTCGACCTCGCCGAGGGCCGACCACAGCTCGGCGTCCGTGTGCTGGCCCGCCGGGTCGAGATTCGCCCGCAGACTGCCCTCGAACAGGATCGGCTCCTGCGGTATGATGGAGACGCGCTCGCGCAACAGTCGCAGGCCCACCTGCCGAGTGTCCACGCCGTCGACGAGTATCTGGCCGTCGAGCTTGCCGGCGAGACGCAGCAGGGCCGAGATGAGGGACGACTTGCCGGCGCCCGTGCGACCCGCTATGCCGATCTTGGCCTTGGCCTCGACCGCGAAGCTCAGCCCCTTGAGCATGGCCTCGTCGCCCTCGTCGCCGTAGCTCAGCCAGACGTCCCTGAACTCGATGCGGCCGTGACTCGGCCAGGCCTTGTCGAGCCAGTCGCCAGCCGCGACCTCGTAGGGGCCCTCCTGCTCGAGCTCGGTGAACTGCAGCATTCGCTCGACGCTGATCATCTGGGCCATGGTCTCGGACACCTGCTTCATGGCGAACTGCAGCATGCCGCAGATGGTGAGCACCTGGGTGAGCGCCAGGCCGACGTCGCCGGCGTACGTGACGCCGCCGCTGTCGCCGTTCGGATCGTCCGAGACGAAGACGAGACTGTAGGCGACGAAGGCCAGCAGACCGATGGAGACGACGTCGAGATAGAAGCCCAGCGCGTAGCTGGCCACGAGAACGAGATTGTGGGCCGAGGTGTGCTGGTCCTGGCGCGCGTCGAACTCGCGGATCATCAGGCGCTGGGACGAGCACGAGCGTATCGTGCCGAGGCCCAGGAGAGAGCTGTTGACCAGCGAGAACACGGGACTCTTGGCTGCCACAAACAAGTTTGTACAATTTTTTTTTTTTTTCAATTATAAAAAGTTAAATTTGAATTTACATTAAAAACTGGGTAAAAATGTACAAAAGCATTTTAAAGATATTATGGAAGTTTACCAGTGTTTGATTAATTTTCGAATGTTTTGTCTGACTAGAGTTTGAACTGGTTTGGAGTAAACAACAAAGTATAATAGTTAATTGTGTAATGTCAAGTACGCAATGAAACTGAAGCGTTTGGCATATGTCCAAAGATCGACCTTTTATTAATGTTCACAAAAGTGTATCATAGTTATGCGAAAAATTAATTTTCTACCGGGAATTAATAAAAAAATTAGAAATTAAAATTGAAGCAACCGAGACTGAATTTTATGAAGGGTATTTCGACACGAATTGCAAAATTTTTTATTATTCACATGTATGGATATATTTACTCGATGTTTTTTGTGTGAACTCGATGTTGCATGTCAGGAGTTTTTTTTTTTTGAAATATTTAGTTTTCAAAGGCCAAAAAATTTCTCAAAGGAATCGTCTTTAAATTAGAAGTTTTAATTGTTTCAAAATTGTAACATGAATGTATGTACACATAAATCAGTAACTTAATTGTAAACAATATGATTATAAAAGACTTAGACATTGTCTCTCGAATACTGAACACGTGTATACTAAATTTAAATTAGTTTGAATGTCATCTTTCCCGATGAAACAATACATAATACCAAAGGCCAGTTTATCATGAGCATCAAAATGGATAAAAGCGAGAAGAAATCCGAGGAAGTTATTTCGGAAAATAATATAAGTGAACACGACATTGTTGTTTCAGACAATGAAAAATACGTTTGTGATATTGGCCAGGAGGCATTTATACAAGAATCAAACATGATAACACACCGAGGCACAATTAACAATGATCAAAAAATGTATGCATGCGACAAATGCAAAAAGAAATTCGAGTTCCGAAGTCATTTGAGTAGACATCAAATATCAGAACACAAAGGCAGCCAGGATTTTGCATGCGACCAGTGCGAGAAAAAATTTGTAAAAAAATCGAAATTGATTACGCACCAAAAATTGGTACACAAAGACCACGAAAATTTCATGTGCAATAAGTGTGAGAAGAAATTCGAAAATAAATCAACTTTACTAAAGCACAACAAAATATTTCACGAAGTTTTCAAAGATTACCTGTGTGAAAAGTGCGCGAAAAGATTTGGAAACAAACAGAGTTTGCTCATACACGTAAAGGGAGTCCATGAGGGTCGCAAAGATTTTGCATGTGATAATTGCGAGAGAAAATTTGGAGATAAATTTGATTTGTTAAAGCACCTAAGGACTGTACACGAGGGTCGCAAGGATTACGAATGCGACAAGTGCGAAAAGAAATTCGGAGAACGAAGCAATTTGATCAAACATCAAAAAACAGTGCATGAAGGTCGCAAAGACTACGCATGCGACAAGTGCAAGAAAACATATGGATTCAAATGGATTTTACTTTCACACCAAAAGATAGTTCACGAAGGTCGCAAAGACTACGCATGCACCAAGTGCGAGAAGAAGTTTGGACAAAAACCGGATTTGTTAAAGCACCAAAGGGTAATCCACGAAGGTCGTAAAGATTTACCGTGCGACAAATGCGAAAAGAAATTTGCGATTAAAAGCAATTTGATAAGACACCAAAAGACAATCCACGAAGGTCGCAAAGATTACGCATGCGACAAATGCGAGAAGAAGTTTGGGTTTCGAGGCAATTTAATCAAACACCAAAAAATAGTCCACGAAAATCGCAAAGATTTCGCATGCGACAAGTGTGAACAAAAATGTGGAACAAAATCGGAGATGCTTTCACATCAAAAGACGGTCCATGAAGGCCGGAAAGATTTCACTTGTGACAATTGCGAAAAGAAATTTGCACGCAAATGGACTTTGCTTTTACACCAAAAAACAGTTCATGAAGGTCGCAAAGATTTCACGTGCGACAAGTGCGAGAAGTCATTTGGACAGAAATCGAATTTGCTTAGTCACCAAAAGTCAGTTCACGAAGGTCACAAAGACTACGCATGCGAAAAGTGCGAAAAGAAATTTACACAAAAATTGGGTTTGCTCTCCCACCAAAACACAGTTCACGAAGGTCGCAAAGATTTCACGTGCGACAAGTGCAATAGAAAATTTGGATATAAGTCAGATATGTTGAAACACCAAAGGACAGTCCATGAAGGTCGCAAAGATTTTGCATGTGATAAGTGTGAGAAGACATTCGGGGATCCGAGTACTTGTATCCAACATAAAAAAACTGTCCACGAAGGTCGCAGAGATTACGCATGCGACAAGTGCGAGAAGAAATATGGGGATCGAGGTAATTTAATAAAACACCAAAAGAGAATGCACGATGGTCGTCGAGACCGCTAATGCGAAGAAATAATAATTGACAATTGTAAATATGTATAAAATCTACACATACATATATCTATACTATAGAAACTTATACATATGTTTTTCTAAAATTTCAATAAAAATTGTACTGCAATGATTGTATATTTTCTGAGGCTCAGGGGTTCAACTGTCCTTACACCTTTGTACACTGATTTTGTGGTGTTTTCAGATTTCGTGCCCTACTAATTACTACTTTCTGTTCATTTTTTGGACACTTGGCTAGACCAAGTTGGACGCAAATTTTCGAGGTCCGAAATCTGAACTCAAAATTATTCGAAGAACGTGTTTAAAAGGCAAATTCGCAACCCCTAGTTATTTTACATAAAAAAAAAAAAAATACTTCCATAGTAATCTAAGAAAAACGTTTCGAGTCTAATTCCATTCACGCGTTTTTACGTTAAATTAAAATCCTCTATTTTTGTAATACCGCAGCGCGGCGCGCTCACCATTGCCCTCGATCCTCTTGATGGCCTGCACCGTCGACAGGAATACGCCGTTGATCCTCAGCAGCAGATACAGCATCACCACTATCGGAAAGATCGTCCACCAATTGATCATGAGTATCTGGCCGAATATGGCCACGGTGTAGATGACGCGCTCGACCATGTCCAGCATGCTGTTGGGCAGGTACTCGTCCACCGAGCCCGTGTCCTTGGAGAAGCGATTCACTATGCGGCTCGGGGCGCGCACGAGGCAGGCCACCATCGAGGCGTGTATGCGCGCCGACGAGGCCAGCGCCACCCGATAGAACAGCACGTTCTTGAAGTTGCCCAGCAGGACGATGCCGGCCAGCAGGCCGCAGAACACGCACAGCACCGCGTTCTGGCTGACGAAGCGCCGCTCGAGCAGCAGTTGGCTGCTGGTCGCGGACTCGTCCACGCTGTACGTGTAATTGGCGTCGAGCTTGAGCTTCTTCTCCTCCTGCTTGGTCCAGTAGGAGAGCCAGTAGTCGAAGCCGCTCACCGACAGCTGGGTAAGGACGAAGCTCAGCAGCAGAATCGCCAGGGTGAAGTACGAGGCACCGGCGGTGAAGTACTTGAGATAGACGCGCTTGGGTACTTTGCCCTTGGCGATGAGCTCCTGCGTCTCCGAGGGATCTTTGCTGTTGTTGGCGTTCGTCGCGGTCGAGTCCTTGGAGTCGATGGTGCTAGCTGCTATCTCGCTCGAAGACGTTGTCTTTTGCAATTTTTTCTCGTCGATCTTCTCGTTGTTGTCCTCCTCCTCGTTCTCCTCCGAAGGCAAATGCTTCATGAACTGCTCGTTACGAGAGAACTCGTCGAAGTCGCCTTGAAACTCTATTCGGCCCTGCCAATCGAGATACATATCATTTTTACAAAATTAAACGAGGCAAATAATTACTTTGGGGTACAAATCTGTGTTGAATAAAAATTTAATGTTGACATCGACATTTTTAGTTTTTAATGTAATATGATGTTTTTATAAGTCTTCTAACATAATTGATTATTTAAATTAATCCAGGATTCATCTATAATGACCTATGATTCCAAAGGTCTGTGCTGCATGAATTTGAATGCAATTTTTGATAAATCTTGATTCTTATTGAGGCTTGACATTTTTTTCATCTTTCTGTATCACTTAAGTGTAACAGAATTTCAAGTAAAGTCTTTTAAAAACAATTTTATAATAAAGAATTTCAATAAAAATTTCAAGGAAAATTGTTTACCCACTAAAATGCTAGTTTTTGAGACCGATATGTTGAAAAAATGGTTCAATTAAAAATTTGCTTCACTCAAGTAGAAAAAAATATTATTGCAAAGTTTTTGAGATCCCAAGAGTCCAAATTGTTTAGAAATTGTATGCAGATTCATGTGGCCCGGGACTTTACAATCATAAGTCATCGTTAATGAATCCTGGAGTAATGAGTGACATTTTCTAATGTAAAAGGACTCGTAAAAACATCATTTCAAATCAAAAACAAAAGATTAATTTAAAGGACATAACACAGATTGTATAACTTATAAGTAAGTAGATAAAAACTTTACGTCGTTCATGAAGATGATCTTGTCGGCCTCTTTGATATACTGCAGCTGATGGGTGATGAGGACGCGGGTCTTGTCGGCCAGCAGGCCCCTCACGCACTCGTCGAACAGTCGCTTGCCGACCTGGCCGTCAACTGCGGACAGAGGATCATCGAGCAGATATATATCGACATCTCTGTACACTGCCCTGATTGTGTAATCGATATATTTTTTTGTTTCATCTTCATTCATAAAAATCTTATAGGTAGCTCGAAAAACAAGAGAGAGATAGAGAGAAAGAGACAGCAAAAATAAGACTCCTGTCTTTATCCAACTCACCTCGCCAAATTGATCCTGGCGCACTGGCCGCCGCTGAGCGAGACACCGCGCTCGCCCACCAGAGTGCGGTCGCCGTGGGCCAGCTCGCGTAGGTCGCGCTCGAGGCAGCAGGCCCTCAGCACTCGCCTGTACCTCGCGGCCTGATAGGCCTCGTTGAAGAGGACGTTGTCGCGTATCGTCCCCGTGAACAGCCACGGCTCCTGGCTGCAGTAGGCGACTCGGCCGTGCACGAGGCAGCGCCCGCCCGGCCTGGCGCTCAGCTCGCCCAGGATCAGCTTCAGCAGGCTGCTCTGTATGGAGGAACAAGTTCGAGAGAAGTTGCGTCAGTTTTCGAGTATTCGAGTTTCACGAGACGGGTGAGTGAAATCGATGAATTAGAGAGTGGTTTGTATAGATGAAGGAACAATTGCACTTGAATTGATTATAAACATTGTGCGAATTGTTATAATATTATTTTTCGTTTATCGATGAGATTATTTTGGATTTGTTCGTTGTTTTTCCAATCGTTTTGGGCGAGCGCTTACGCAATTATAAAATTAATTCTTAAGGGTTAATTCAGTGGATTTAAATGATTATTTTGACTCTACCACTTGCAGATTTTGCAGCTTAATGTACTTGCCATCTAGCGGTAAAAACTTGACGTAGAATAATAATATTTCAAAACCATGCTTCGATTTATACAATTATTTTTACTTTGCCACTTGCAGATTTTCTCTGTCAAGCGTACTCGCCATCTGGTGGAGGCTCTCAATGCTATCATTGTATTTAAAGTAGCTGTTGAAAAATCGCCAAAAACAAGCCAATTTATGATAGTGTGTTTAAAAAAGGTTAAATGGACATTTAACATTAACAATTTATGTTACGAACTTTAGTTTATATTTATTTGTTGAATAAAATTATGAACTTTATGTGTGAAATTCTTTCAAGAAAAATTAAAAAAAAAAAACAAAATATGACAAAGCTTCGACTGAATGCAAAGAAAAGACGTGACGAGCTTATTGCTCTTGCAATTGCAAAAAATCCAAATCCAAACGTTCGATACATTTTACTCGTTGTGCACATACCTTTCCCGAGCCGACCGATCCTACCACGGCGTAGAGCTTGTTTGCCGGCACCGATAATTCGATGTCGCTGAGATTGTTGCCGACTGAATTTTTCTCCCAAGCCGCGTTCACCTTCTCGATGGTGACGCGCGAGTCTTCGTTGTTGTCGCCGCTGACGCCACCGCCACCGCTGCTGGCCACTGCAGGACTCGACGATTCGCTCTCCTCCATCAGTAAAAAAGTCTGCGACGAGCAAAGACAAAAAATTGTAAAATCGCCGTTGCGTTTTTGTAATTTTCGTTGCGCACGCTCACTTGTATGCGATTCAGCGAGACGTTGACGTCGGCCGCCAGCGTTATGGCCTCGGCGAAGAATCGCGCCATTATCGTCCTGGCCAGCACGAAGAACTGCACCGTGGAGAATATCTTGTCGGCCGAGACCTGGTGCTCCTGGAATATGTAGACGACGATGCTGATGAGCAGCGCGACCCGATGCGTGAACAGCGGACAGGCCAGATTCACGCTCTTCACGTAGAATCGCTTGAGCAGCGCGTCGATCTCCCGCCTATTACGGATAAAGAGACAATGCGAATGCGGATGTAGAGAGAAAAAAGATTTTGTTTTTGTTTTTGTTTTTTTGATAAATGAGATCCACGCACTTTCTAGCCAGCGACACGAGACGCTCGAAGGGCTTCTCCCAGGCGTACATCTTGATGATGCTGATGCCGTTGACGATCTCGCCGATGAGCATGACGCGCTTGTCGGTGCGCGTCGCGGCCTTCGAGCGCAGCTTCGCCGTCAGCTTGTACCAATAAACTAGAAGCAGTACATAACGTATACACAATGCGTAACGATAGAGATCGAGAAAAAAGTCGGAAATGTAGAAAACAAAGCATACTTAATTTACATTCTACAAAAAAAAATCTTGTAACAACAATTGAACATAGTAATGCTAGCGCTTCAATTTATACAATCACTTTGACTTTGCCACTTGCAGATTTATTGATAAAAGTGCACTCGCCATCTAGCGGTAGAGACCGACTTTAATAATGATTAATCTTTCGTACATTTTTTTTGCCCAATCGATGCAAAAACTAAATCAGCATGGAAACATCGAATTTCAATTAGAATGCTTAAACTTACGTGATTCATTGATATGCATCTTTGATAAAATTCAGTAGGTGTCAATCGAATTTCAATATCCGATTTTTTATTGAATCTTTATTAAATTTAACATTTTATACAAATATTTTATATAATTATTTAATACCTCTCGAGGTATTAGAAAAATTTAAAAACTACAAAAAAAATAAGAACTTCAAAAGTGACAGTGAATCGGAAAATAATTACGTCTGCATTTTACTCTTAAAAGCTATTTAAGATAAATCGTCACTAACCCTGAGTCGGTATGGTCTGTATCGCCATGAAAAGTATACCGGCAAAAGCCGCGACCCCGAGCTGACGCCAGATGAGATAAGTGACGAGCAGCAGTACGCACGGCATGATCCAGGTGTAATGTAGATGCAGGGCAAACGCCTCGAACTTGGCCAGATCGTTGCTCAGCAGATTGCTGATGAGGCCGCCGCCCGCCTGACTCGCCGAGGCGCACGACAGCCTCACCACCTTGCGATAGATGAGCGACGAGCAGGCGATCTTGACGCGCATGCCGATCTCCTGCTGGCCCAGATGGGCCTGCCGGACTATCACGGTCTGCAGCAGGGTGACTGCGACGAGGCCCGTGGCCCAGAGATAGGCCTCGTCGCTCGTCGCCTGCGACTGCGGCTGAAAGTACCAGATGAGCCGGGCCAGCACCAGCGGCTGTAGACACTTGACCACGTTGAGCAGCAGCACGTTGGCGCCGTGCTTGCAGAACGTCCAGCCGAAGCAGCGCCAGATGGCGCGTCGCAGACTGGGCGGAGACCGCGGAGATTTCAGGCCGCGACGGAGCTCGCGCTGCCAGGACTTCTCGAGCTTGCGGCCGAGACGAGAGCTGACGTTCTCGGGCAGCACGTCGTACAGGTCCTGCTCTCTCAGCGAGTGATTGCGACCGAGCCAGAACAGGTCGAGCAGCCACCTATACGTGGGTAGATACATTGGCGATTAATTTTTTTTTTTTGTGATCGTATTATCGCTCGAGTGGAGATCTGAGAAAATTCAAGTATTAAAGGGACAGCAGTGTTAAAATTCTGTAAATGAAGAAACATCTAAATGATATACGGTGATATTGAAAATTTTCGTTTTCAAAATGTTTTCGCGGCGTTCGTCAATATTTCCAAAAATCCAAAAATGGTCCAAAAAATCTGAAAAATTCACACATATTCTTTGATCAAAATTAAGCACTTTTTGTTCAGAGAAGATTTTTCGCCAAACCCTTCCTATGGGAGAAAAAAAATCGCAAAGCTTTTCATTTCTAAATTAGTATTTATTTGCCTCATGCTACTCCGAGCTGAAAATTTTTGATTTCAGCACCCATGTTTGCACAAACCTGCAAAAATATACCATCTTACAGTTTTTTACTCGGCTCCTGAGATATATTTTATTTTATTTTTTTTTATTCGAAATATTTAAAAAAGGGGTACACTCTAATATACACGAATGCTATTCATAAAAGCACATGCTCCCTATATATAATCGAAAAATAGTTTTACCACTTGCGACTTTACCATACTCCATCTGTCGACGGAATCGAGAAGCTCCCGATCGAACGTGACACGTCTCGATTACGATACAAAACAAAATTTGTAATAATAATCCTTAAACATTTTTCTACAAAAAAAAAGTACAACTCGTTCTCACATTTCCACTTATACATAATCGATATACTGTATTATATTATTAAATAGACGTGCCGTATCTCTCTCACCAAAAAGTCAATTTGCTCAAGATTCCAGCCTTGAGCTTCGGGCTCGGATTCTCGGCTTTGTTTCTCTTCCCGTTCATGATTTCTTCTCCTGTTTTTTTTTCTCGTCTCTTCTCTTTACGTCAACAAGTAGCGTGGGTCACCTCGTCGGCCGTTTGAACCATCTCATTTCTCCGGCCAGCATCCTCCGCTGTCCTCGCACCACCTGAATTCAATTCGACCAGCACATTTTCCGCAGCTGACGACTGTCGACGATCAACTAACAATAATCGCAATCAATTGTAAATTCGAATCGATCGAATCGGTCGTCGATCCACACACACATACACACACACGAACGCGAAATTAAAAAATGTATAATAATGCCGATATTAAATTACACGCGACACAGATAACGCGCGATGAATCGAGCTTCTTCTTTTTTTTCTTTTTCAGCTTAGCGAAGGCAATGTGGAAGAGAGAACGCGTCGCGTTGATTATACACAATGTCATTTATACACACAAGCGCATATAAATCTCGAGCGGCATAGACACAATAACAGGGTAATTGTCTCATAAGATGATCCTCGAATCGTTTTATCGCTCGCATCATAAGTACACACGTACATACATATATCTTGGTTTAATCCCATCTCGGGTACATATGCAGTTTATTATTTATTTAGAAATGAAAATTGTAAACGATTCGACGATGTGTGCGCGTAGCATTGAAAACGCGATTCTCGCGCTCGACCCAAATCGATACATAAATCAGCTTTTTCAAGGAACAACGAAAATCGACTTATTCGCCGATCGAGCCGGTATACGCGCGCGCGCGCACCGACACACATTATACACACGGCTATATATATTGCATCGTACTACACTATCATGCAAATTTAGATTGGGAAAACCGCACGCGTAGTTTGTACGCTGCATACTTATATGTGTGTACGCTTGTCCGGAGAACTCGAAATAAATAATCGCGATCGAGTATGTAAGTAGCTCCGCAGTAATATTCCGTCTAAATCGATGCGTGTATAAATATCGCAATGAAAAATAGCAATTATTACATCCTTACCGTTTCGCAGAGATAGATAGATAGATATAGATAGACGCACACACGCACACAGATGTATATTGCGATTATTCTATCGAGGAAGCGTCTACGAAAACAAGTTGCATTAAAAAAAAAATACAACGGCACACAAAGGAAACTTGGCACCCGCGAGAAAAGAATCGAGAGATATAAACAAAGCTCATAGAGCCAACTGCACGACCGAACAACAAATTATTTTCGGACTTCGGAGAGCTTTCTCTCTCGTCGCGCGTTCGCGACAGACTAAAATCTCCGTCTGTGCATGTAGCGTTCAAAAGGTATATAATGTACATATTTCTTCGTCTGCTTCTGCTGCTTCTCCCGCGCGCGCCTCCCCCACACACATTCACATATATGTATAGTATATCGTGTGCACGTGTGTGTGTGTGTGCGTTCGACGGAGATCGGCTAAACAGAGAGAGAGACGTACATAGAAATTCTTGGGAATATTATATTGTACAGTTATGTAGATAAACACGTGTGTGTGTGCAACGTAAATAATTGACAATGTAAATATACTTTGCATGTGTATCGAGCTTTTTTTGACTTACTCATGGAGAATCGGCGAAAAAAAATAACAATGTGAAGAAAATATACCGATCGATTATTTTTCATTCGATTGATCAAACGTAATTCACGACGAATTAGGTGCGCGCGCTCATTATACCGCGTGTAATAGTGATTGCTGCTGCTCGATGATTGAAGCTTCTTTATTCGTTATTTTTTTCTTTCTCTCGATGATTTATTTTATCGTAATTTTTGAAAAAAAATGTAAAATAGTTTTATATAACGTCTACAGGTATTACGTTATATTAGCAGTCGTTTTGTCTTCTCGAACGAAATATGAATGATAAATTGTATAATAGACGTAGTCTTGCAGTTTAATTTATATTTTTTTGCCTCGCCTCTTCCTCCTCGTTTATCCATTTAATTTTCTCGTTTGTTTAGATTTATAATTTTGCCTATTAATCTGCTGAAATCCGAGCTCGCGCGCCTATCGCGCAGTGATTTACCTTTTATCTAAAGCCGCTTGTGCTTGTGTGTGCACTCTTCGTCCGTCTTATCTAATCGTCCGTGTGTGCCGCAGGCAGACGAAAAAATACAAAAAAAAAAGAAAAATCTCATCGGTAATAAACTGTCCAGAAGAGGCCTGCGATGATATATATATTTCGTGCAGGATACGTGTCGAAGTAGTGACGAATGTATTCCCGGGCACGTCTCGCGCGAGCACGCGATATACTTACGCGCATAAATTATCGTTGATTATTAATATTTTATCTTCGAGAAAATGAGAAGAAGAAGAAAAAAAAAAAACGGAAGTCGATCTCTCCGAGGACGATAGATTTAGAGTGACATAGGCTTAATTATTTTATTATTTATAAAACAAATAAATACATGGTATTTATTTATAATCACATAATTTTTAATATACCTAATGACAGCCACACACATAACAATTTTATCACGCTTACAATATAAGGTTTTTTATTTTCGTGGTAGTTGTTATTACCATGTACTTGAGGAATTAAAAAAAAAGATTTATAATTAATAAAATGTGTAGCTCGGCAACGCGGACCTCTCACATTAAATCGATTAATAAATATAACATTTTTTTAAATACTATAATAATAATAATAATTAAAAATTATCTTTAACTAGATTTTTTTGTCTCGGGTACTTGATTCTTTATATCATATAATACCTAACTAATTAATAGTAAAAAAACTCAATCGATCCTTGAGAGTTTCGTATTTTTACAAGACATTAAATTCTACGATATAATGGGTTTATATATACATCAGTTGAAATTGCATTCTAGTCACACACCCGATATATTTTTACAATTCGCGGGCTCGCGCGCGCGCACGAATTTTACAATTCTAATATATAATAATGAGTAAAAAGGGTTTCAAAAACTTAATAATAATAATTATTTTTTACGGCGTATATAATCGTCGCCGATAATTCGTGCTCCTAAAGAGATAATAATAATATAATAAAAAGTAGCCGCAAACGTCGTACCAATAAATACGTAATGGCTGCAATATCGTTCAAGAATATATTGCAATAACACGTCAGTCATTCGTCATTTTAGAAATTAATAAAATATTACAATATACATATGTCCTCACGTAAGAGGACAAAAAATTATACAAAATTTACAAAAGTATTATTTGTACAGTGCAGACGCATCCGAAATACGTATTACAATATCGCTCGTGCGGCCTAATAAAAAAAAAAAAAAAAAAATAGAGAAAAATCAGCGTCAGGCGACGGCTATCGACTGATCGCTTCTGTTCATTATGAAATCTTTGCGGTGCAGCTGGTCGTCATCGTATCGGGCCGGGTCATCGACCTCATCCGTCTCTTCTTCGGCCGCTGCTTGTCGCGGTGGACGACCCCCCAGGGCCGAGCAAAGATTTCTCAGATCCTCGTCGGTCAGTAGGCTCACGATTTGTCGCACCGCTGCGATCGTGGCTCGATGTCGTTGCTCGCCGCCTCCGCAGTCGCTGCTGCCTCCGCTACCAATACTACTGCTACTGCGACTCGAAGCGAGTTTCGGCGCGACGACCGTCGACTCGAAATCCTCGGCGGCACGGCCGAGTAGCTCGTCGCGCGACCTGCCCCTCTCGTAATTGCCCAACAGGGCGTCGCAGTACTCGGGGAATCGCTCGCGGCACTCCTCGTCCGAGGGAAAGCTCGCCGAGCAACGGCGCACCATATCCAGCAGTTGGTCGTCGTCGTTGGCGATCAGCAGCTCGTAGAACGTCGTCGTGCTGGTCCGGTCGTCTTGGACGATGCGCTCCAGCTTCATGGCCTCGAGCTCGCGCTGGCATCGCTCGAACAGTCGGCCGAGCTCGCGGTGGGCCGCGATGCGTCGACGATGCTCCTTGCCGAGCTTGAGCCCGCCCTGGGCCCGCAGCAGGGCGAGATTCTTGACGGCGAAGCTCTTCTCCAGACTGCTGCAGGAGCTGAACACGGCGCCGTGGCGCATCAGCGTGTCGATCACCGCGGCCGAGCGCGTCTTGATGGCGTAGTCGAGGCAGGTGATCTTCTGGCAGACGTACTCGTTGACGGGATAGCCGTGCTCCAGCAGCATCTCGACGATGTCGCAGCGTCCGGTCTTCACGGCGCAGTAGAGCACCGGTATCTGCTGATTGCTCGACCTGCTGGGAGCGCCGTTCTGGTGTCGCAGCAGAGCTCGCACAGTCTCGGGCTGCTCGTTGATCACCGCGAGATGCAGGGCCGTGCAGCCGTCGAGATTGACCGAGGCGGGATCGACGGGGGCCCGGCCGAGCAGCATCTCCACGAGGCCGAGCTTGCCGTGCATCGCCGCGTGACGCAGCGCCTCGTTCGCGCCCGCCCGCGCGCCGTGCTCGAGCAGCAGCGAGGCCAGCTCCTCGTTGCCGAGGTGAGCGGCGAGATTCAGGGGCGACATGTAGCCCTCGACGCTGAAGGCCTCGAGATTCGGCGAGGCGCCCTTGCTCAGGAGCTTGGAGACGAGCGCGACGTCCTGCTCCTCGATCGATCGGATAAGCGGTGTTTTCACTGTTGACCAAAAAACAGGGAGAAAAGTTTAATATCTCTATTCGAAGTTTATGAACAATTTTTCAAAGTTGAAAAACTTTCGTTAATTTTTGGCTGAAAATTTACGGTGACCGATGCACCTTGAACTCAAATTTTTTTCATTGGATTTTTTCTTCTCTATCCATTGCATTTTTTTTAATTTGGAACTGTTTAAAGTGCATGTATTCCTTTGAGCTAGTTTTGAGTTTAAATTAAAAAGTGTGTTTAAATGTATAAAAGATTTCAACAAGTTCTTGAAAATTTTATAAAAATTATTTACTGTTTCATTTGACTAGAAATTTCAGCTGCATTTGAGTAGAAAAAAACATCTCTAAACGTGTAAACTTTTATACATTTTCATGTGTCCAAAGTCTTATCTTTTATTCAAGTTTATAAGAGTCTATTAAAGTCTCTAAAATGTTATAATAAGTATGCACAAATTCGATCTCCGTCGGAGATATGGTTCAGTATCAACGATTTTTTCCATCTCTCTGAGTATTTTATTATACTAGAACAAAATCTTATTTCTGAAATTTACGTACGATAATGCATTATCCCAAGAGTTTTCTGTGAAATTTCATACAAAAATTGTCACAGTTAGGGCTTAGAGATGTAATTTACAACAAAGTCATGAAAATTCTGACAAGGCGCGTAAGTTATCGCAGGATCGTCTGACACGAAAAAATTTAAAATGAGTTTTTTTTTTAAATCATAACGTGGACTTTTTCCGCTTATATTGATTTTACAAATTTCGTCGTGAGTTAAAATATCCACTAGAGTTGAGTCTGTGCAGAAAAAATCGAACTTTCTTCGGCAAATTTGTTGTAAATAAAATAATGTTTTGAAAAGTCGAAATATCTCGATATCGGTGTCTGCCCAAAGGATTAATAGAGAAGTGTGAAGATTTTCAAAACGATCGGCTCAATACTTTTTGAGTTACGTTTCTCGTCGATTCGACAAACGTCATTTCCAAAAATGCAAGTAGTGCATCTTCCAACGTGTATTTTTGGAAATGAATTTCATCAATTAGGTGAGAAACGTAGTTAGAAAAGTATACGAATATACGAAAAAAATTGATAGACATCGAAATTTCCTATACGGAGGCGCGTCGCGCATTTTATTATACACTTACGCTCGTGAGCGTCAACGAGGTCGAGATCGTCCCCGTCGCAGTCGTAGCTCGTTAGCAGGGCCAGCCACCTCCTGCTGGCCTCGGGGCCCTTCCTCAGGGCCAGATTGATGAGGCTGCAGCTGCCCGCCCGCGACTCGTCGATCCTCGCGCCCGCCTCGAGCAGCGCCTCGGCGATGCCGTAGCAGTCGTGATCCACGGCCATGTAGAGCGGCGACCTGTCCATGAACTTGACGGGCGGCGACAGTCCACCGCCGTCGGTGGACTGGCGCAGCAGCAGCAGCTCGACCAGGCGGCGATTGCCGTGCGACACGGCGATGTGCAGCGCCTGGAGTCCGTCGCCCGAGACCGGGTCCGCACGGGCCCCGGCGACCTCGAGCAGATAGCTGGCCAGCTCGAGGTCGTTGTTGCGACAGGCCAGATGCAGGGGGGTGCGCTCGAGGGGTCCCGTGGCCTCGTCCACGTCGTCGCCGAGCTCGCAGTACTCCCGGACCAGGGCCGAGTCGCCGTCCAGCACGGCCTGGCACAGTCGGCTCAGCTGTTTCTGTTGTTGCTGCCGCTGCTGCTGATACTGCTGAGCAGTGGCGAAAGTAGTGGTTGTAGACATGACACGAGGTTTTTCTTCTGCTGCTGTGTATCGAAGCAAAGACGATCGTGTTTATAATTGTCGAGAGATAATAACATTGACGACGATGCTCGAATGAAAACACACGTACACACACACACACACACACACACACACACACAAACGCACATTTACGTACACAGGACACAACGAATGATCCAAGATATAATCGAAAAGAATAGAGAAAAAAAGTAGAAGAAAAAATGGGGCTGACCTCTTGTTTACCACCGCATGAACACATACACGAACGAACGAACGAACGAGCTTGACGACGCGCAATTTCCGGTGGGGGATGCGCGCGAGCCGCGTAATTATCCAATTATATTATAATGATTATATATAGACAAATCTATATAACACAAAGACACACAGACGCGCGCGTACAGTTTCGCTCGTGTTCGCGCGTTCTCCAGGCTGCGAGAGAGACCGATCGTGGACTGTGCGTACCGATCGAACGTTGACTCTCGCACACCCTACCTACCTCTCTCTCTCTCTCTCTCTGTACAGTGACAACATAATAATATTTTTGGGTACGTTGACGTACACAGGGGAGCGGGAAATTACGAAAGGACAAATTCAGTTGCTTATGCTTTTTTTATTGTCGGTCATCCGGTCGTCTTTGACTTATTTTACACTTTTTTTTTCTTCTTTTCATCGTCGTTAAATTATCGTATTCAGCAATCGTCGTCTTTGGAAAAATCCATGAGATCTCGCTGCTGATCCGGACAATTGTTGTTTGTCCAGGGGTCCTGCAGATCCCACAGATCCTCGGGCAGATTCTCTCTACCCGGTGGTGGCTGCTGCGCTCGGCCACTGCTACGATGACGATGACGATGATGCCGATGATGATCGCGATGATGCGAGCTTCGATGCGGCGGACTCGGCCTGTAGTGCGGATAATTGGCCGGATCGCAGAACTTCTGCAGGCGCTCGAGGTTGTCCGGCTCGTAGCGGTAGGGCTCGCAGCGTCGGCGCGGTATCGCGGTGCGCTGCTTGGCGCGATGCCGATCGCAGTAATCCACATCGTCCGCCGGCGCTGCTGCCGCCGCTGCATCGACGTCGAAATCGTCGTCGTCGAGATCGATCAGATCGCCGGGCTCGAGCGTGTCGAGGAACTCCTGATCGAGAAAGTCGGTGGCCCCGTCGACGTCTCCTCCTAGGTCTCCTAGGTCTCCGTCGTCTCGACAGGCGTATCTCGCGAACATGTCCTCGAAGCGCTTGTCCTGCAGATAGTCGCGGGCCGCCGCGACCTGCGGATGATCCCTGCCGCACTCGGGCTTGAGGTAGGGGTCGTCGAGGGACGGGCAACGATACAGTCGGGGCGGCGAGGCGACGTCCGACAGCAGCTGCTGAGGCGCGCTGATGTCCGACACGTGCAGATCCGCCGCCTCGAGACTGATGGCGGTGCCGCCGACGTCCGCCACCGACATGACGAAGTCCCGCCTGGCCTGCTGCAGATGCTGCAGCTTGGAGTTGACCACGGCGGCCTCGGCGGCCTCCTGCTCGTCGAGGCTCTCCGCGATCACCTGGGCGCTCTTGTTGGCCACGGGACTGCAGCAGCCGGTAGCGGTGGCGTGATCGACGCGCGTCGACGAGGGTAGCACCGTCGTCTCGGCATGAGGAGGAGGAGGAGGCAAGCTCACGATCGTCGTCTTGTCGGCGTTGATCGCACCGGCGGGTATGATGATGTTGTCGATGGCGCCCTTGTCCAGCGGCTCGGCCTGGACGATATCCGCGTTCATGGTCTTGGCGAGGTTGCGCGTCCTCGCGGATATGCCGCCACCGATACCTGGTCGACTGCGCGACGGCTGCGGTCCACAAGCTTCAGCAGCAGGACGAGGACACTGCGTCGCGTCCAACTTGGCCGTCGTCGGTCGTTGTGGCTTGCTGCTGGTGGTAGCTGTTGGAGGTGGACATTTACGGGTCGCCGCCGCGCCAGCGGATGGGCCATCGCAGCGACGCGACGTAGGACCTGCTGCTGCTGGTATCGGTCGACGCTGCTGCTGCTGCTGCTGAAGGGGCGGCTGCGGCGGCATTATTCGATCTCGCTCCCTGCGCTCGCGCTCCCGTCGCTCGAGCTCCTCCTGCAGCTTCTGCGTGTGCCTGAGCTTGGCCAGCATCGCGCGGGTCATGGCGGGCCGCTTGTAGTCGAGCTTGCGCGGCGGCGCCGGTGGCGGGCCGCGCGCCGGTATCGTCGATCTCACGCCCGCCGCGGATCGTCTCTGCTGCTGCTGCTGTCCACGAGCTGCTTGTTTTTTTTTTTTTTAGCCTCTTTTATTTTTCCATCTCTTTGTGTCGAGATGCAGGTGTAACGAGTGGCAGGGAAGACTTACGCGGCCGACACTGTCCAGATGGTCCTGGTCGAGCGGTAGACGTTACGGCCGTTACACCGGGTAACTCGGCACCTCCCAGCTCGCGTCGATCGGCTTCCTGCTCCTCCTCCTCCTCCTCCTCCTCCTCCCGAAGGCTGAAGTTGTTGTTGTTGTTGTTGTTGTCGCTCAGCAGCAGCAGCGACAGGTCGTCGTCGTTGTTGTTGGCTGCTGCCGCCGATAATGGAGGATCCAATCCCGGTGGTCGGCCGCATGGCGTGAGTGAGCGTCGACGCGACGACGACGACACCTCCTCCTCGGGACTGCGCGGACGCCGATGACAGCTCCTGCCTCTGCTGCTGCTGCTGTTGGCGACGTTCATGCCTCGCTGATGCTGCTGCTGCTCCTCCTCCTGACGACGACGACGATGTTCCTCCTCCTGACGCGGCATACGGCCGAATTTTCATGCATCTAGCCAATTGGCTAAACGACGGCGACGAGCATTGTGACGGTACGGGTATCCTCGACGACGTGGGCGACGTGGTGACGACGTGGGACGACTTCTTATTCTTATTTGGGTTTTTTTGAGCTTTTTTTAATTTTTTTTGGATCACGTACTTAACTTGAAAATTTCATGGTTTTTTGGGGGTGGGTGAAGAGGTTTGACGCTCGCGTATCACTGAAGCATTTACTAACAATTTTGATTTGCCGCACTCACTTTGTTCATTGATTACTTATTTATTTATTTGTTTTGTCGGCTTTGAAAGAGAAAAAAACGGATGGATCGACGGGAAATTTGGAAACGAGGTTGCTTGTTGGGAAGGAAGGGCCGAAAGTTTAGGTTGGATTTATACGCGCGACGGCGTTAAGCGTTTAGCCTTGTCGTCATTGTTATTGTTACGGCTCGTTTGTTTGGAACGCCGCGTGGAACGTCGTCGTTCGAAAATTTGAATTGATTTCTTCTTCGATTCTGGACGCCACATCTCTTCCTTCGTCAATTTCGTTAAACGAAGATTCGACTTCACTCGGGGATTGAGATAGTCAGCCTGAAAGTCTGGCAACCACAGATACATCGCTCGAGTGTGTATATTCGATTGTCAGGGGCTGGCAACGACAACGATTTTCGTAAGAAAAGTCTAGCGTTGGGATCAAGATTAAAAATGTAGGCTTTTTTTCTTCTTATTGCATATTCAAAGCTTACATGTACTATCGCTTGACTTGAAAATGAAACGAAATTTCTTGCAAAGTAGAGTTCGTGAAAAAAGAGAATATTATCATATCCAATGAAAAAGAATATCTAAAAAATGATAAAAAGTAAATCTAAAATATTAAGTTACATGTCTAATATACACAGCCATCAAAAGTGAAATTTCTCTAGAGTTAATTCACCAAATGCTGATCAGATTATTAAAAATGGTGGTTATATCAACAAAAATCAATCGTAAATGAATTAGCCCCAGAAGTGAAACGTCAGAATCCTTTTATATGGTTCAATTTTCTTTCTGGAATTTCATTCACCTTTCGATTACGCCCGATTAGAAACTAAATACGGGTGTCTGATAGTTTCGAAAAAAGTGTAATAATGAATGACATGACTCGGGTGGTCAGAATACAGATAAGTAAAAAGAAGATTCATTCAAAATATCGGGAGAAAAATTTAGTTTTAACCAAAAAAAAATTTGTTCTTAACCAAAAAAAAAATTTTAATTTCAAAAATCCATGAATCAAAAATGTATTCAAACATATAAGGTCGAGCATCCAGTGAATGAATGGTTTCAAAAAATGCGATATAAATTACGTTATAAATACCACCAAAAAATAAAAATATCACGTGAATTATCGGATTCCCAAAAAAGTTTCTATTCGAATTTGGAACAAGTTATTGTACACTGTGCCGTATGCATTGCAGCTCGCACGCAGTCGCAGTCGATCCAAGTTTTTTTGGTGAAAGTAGACTACACATGTGCAACAGCCGGATGTATCTCAGTCGTTTTTTCTCTCTCGTGGTGTGCGTTAGTTGGTGCCGGCTCTGCCACAGTCAATTGCGACCTCGTGTTCGTACGGTCCAGCCACGTGTTTTTTACTCGTTCCATAAAGTATACGTATATCGTCGCGGTTAAGTGAATATTACGACATCGCAGCGACTGCAATAAGTGATTTTTAAAAGTAAAAAATATCTGTGTGTATAAACGTGAAAAACGATGTCTACGCCAGAAGACCAATCACTAGTGGAAAAATTAAAAGACTTACGAAATAATGTTAATTGGAGTATCGAAGAAGAAAGATGTACTTTTCTCGTTCAACTTTATCTACTCGGAGATATCCTTAATAGAATTCCTGCAGTTCATCTCTTTTTGCGTCCCGAAGAGATTCAGCAACTTCTCTGGGACTCTACTAATTACAAGGACAAAGAGTTTGGTTATATTCCAAGCGACATGTTCATTGAGATGGCTGCCACAGATGCTTACAAAGACGAGCCCGAAACTGATGAGAATGGAATTATATCGCCACGTCGCACTACACTAATACATCATGCGGTTAAAAAAAACGAAGAGTGTCGCCACTGGACTTACGTTTTTCCTCTCCTTTTCGATATATGCGGCAGGTTTGATGTGAATTACACCGACGAGTCAGGCTACACGCACTTTCACGCGGCCTGCCGGTTTAACTCCCTCGAAATCGTCCGAGGATTCCTCGAACATGGACAGGATCCCAATTGTATCTGGCCAGAAACGGGTGATTCAGCACTTCACATTGTCTTAAAACACGCAGGATTGTTATACAGTGATATAATGGAGATACTGCTGAGAGGAGGCGCTGATCCAAATGTAGCCAACAAGGAAGGTTTGACACCTTTGCATATTATAGCCGAAACAGATTTTGATTGTCAGATAGTAGAGCTATTCTTCCAAATCAATGACGAATTGAATCAGCTGGTGCAAATTAACGCCCGTGATAAATTGGGTAATACACCGATTCACTTGGCTTTAAAATACGGCGATGAGCTGGAAATGATAGAGATAATGCTGAGAAGAGGAGCCAGTCCAAATTTAACCAACGACGAGGGATCAACTCCTTTGCATATTATTTGCAAGAGTGATATATATGATTGCGATGA